AGGATGGCCTTAAAGGATGCGTTAGTAAAGTTGAAATGGAGAATGGGACAATGAATTCCCTACTCCCGAATGATGCAAGGGCCCTCACGGCTTATGGTCTCGCTAAGGTAAGGTCCACAAGGAGGATGTCACTCTTAGATAACAAAAGAAGCGTGATGCATAAAATCTCACGTTTTTCATACCAATTTGATTGCGGGTAAGTATTCCGGGGCAGAGGAGCACCGGAGCCCGGGAGGGACCTGTCTGTGTCCTGGTCGGACCAGCCTTCCAGTCAGAAACTTTACAGCACCTCAATCTGGCCACAAGAGACACCAACCAATCACATTTATCTTGTATGTGAACGGAGGTATGACTGAACGGCGACAGCCTGATTGCTTTCCATTCCGTTAGATAAGGCAATCTGTCTATGGCTCATCCCCTAAATGGAGTTCCATTCCCTTTCAGAAAGAGCCTTGGCTCACCCTCGACATGATCTAGACCCCAGGAGTTCGTCGCTTGGCACGTTCAGAAGGTCAGGACAATGCGGTTTGGCAGGCATCTAACCAACCCACTACGATCGCCTGCCCAGGATCAGCTAATAAGCCACGTGGCCTTTTCCCTATTAACTCGGCTCTGGGTGATGACCACTTCGAGGTTTCGTTGAATCCTTTCGTGCAAGCATTCAATGCCCTGGAACCACATTCTGCCTTGGCTACTGCAATTGTGGTGCCATTTTGTGGAAATAGGTGCATACCACCTAACGAATCCACCAAAAGCATCTCAATTTTTGCATCGAATGGCAAGGTATTTCTTTGTGTCGTACTTTGAATCCTTTGTCTACGAGTCTATGTATGGAATTCGTGAGTAATAAATTAATCAGCTAAGGCCGCTTGAGTTGAAGTAAGGTTGGATATCTTAATTTTCTCACAACGCGATGAGTAGGCCTCACGATACCATTGAATTACACTTAGGTTTGCCTCCCTAAAGGCCTTTGGGAGATAAGGCTAATTAAAATTAGGTGACATCCTGCTAACTGGTCATCTGATTGTGAGAACATTCAACTATGAACCTTAAATCATCTTGTGCGACCTGGAATGACTAAATTATTATTCGAGAATTGCTGATAGTCTCGAAACGACTTCGAAAATATGTCGAATTTTGCCATGCTGCTCAACTGCTCAATGGACCTTGGGGTCTCATAGACAAGCCTCCTTTTCTCGAGAGCTCCACTCGCTTAAATGCACATCCTCTCTAGGCTCGCGGAGCCACTAGTTTTCAGCCTACCACTGCCTTCACATGCAGCACTGTCGCTTCCGACCTGAGCTACTTTTTAGATCACCAAGTGCGAACGGGATTTTTCACTCTTGAGCCAAAATGGCCAGAATAAACCAGGACTTCGCTCGTCTTTGCTAAGCGGCTCCACCGCATCCTAATAGTGAACGGACCAAATATTTTCATTGCTTTGTAACAATGTCCATCTTACCTCGTCTATCTGTGAATAAAGGTGACATATTCGCTATATGACATGCGTTCACCATATTTCGTTTAAGGTGATGAGAGACTTGTAGTTGAAATTTCCCACAGCCACATAAATAGAGCTGACGTTTCCATTGAATTCCACATAGCCTTGCTTTCCCAAAAGTTGTTATCACCCAGAGGGGACTGCAGTTTTTACCTCGCATACGCCTTATCAACACCCCCAGCGGGAGTCGAACCATGACAGTGCAGCGAAACTGCATTCCACTCTGGATGAGAACAACTTTTAGGAATGTAAGGCTATGTGAAATTCAACGGCAACGTCAGCTACACTCATATGATTGTGGGAAATTTCAACTTTTAACCTTTTATCACCTTAAACGAAATAGGCTGAATATATCTCATATAACTGATTTACTGGTAGTCTTGAAACTCATCTTATAAACGAAAAAACATATTCGCTAGTCTTGCGGGTCAGAAAACACCGGCCAGCCTCTTGGCCTTGTTGTTTCGGCGCTGTGGCCCCAGCTGTAGACCCCTTGCCTCTTAACTCACCCGTTTCGGGTCAGAGTCCTGCGGGGCAATAGATGTCACTGGGGTGACGTCAAGTTGCAGCCCGCCTTAAACTAAAGTGTTGCCTTGGCGACGACTATCCTTCCAAATCCTCACTAGCCTCCCGATGATACTAAGGATCGAGCCAAGCTACAAATGAACTTCCTCAGACTTCGACAAAGTTTCGTCATCTTCTTTTTACACTTGTTGCTATGTTGCTTAATTGTTGCCAGGATGAGCTTGGTTATCTCTCTTTTTCTGCCATTTTACCTTCCCCTCACATCACCGTTCATTATCATACTTTAAGCCTATCACCCGACATTTTTACCAACTTCCGCGTGAGCACATACACATGCATACATTGCACATACATACATTGCACATACATTTGTATGCAAGCATGACAATGAGCACAGTGTCACCTACTTGACACATGGACACGCACTCAAACTTGCACATACAACTTTTTCGTCTAGGCCTGGCTAGGCGTGCCCTATGCCCAACCTCCGACTCGGGAGAGGGGTCTTCGTTTCCGTCCGCCTCGGAGGTTGGAGACATCACGCGAACCCATCGACAACCAACACTTGCCACCCTCCTGCTCTCAGCCGGTCACCAAAGACCCTCGGCAACCTGCGGCATGGCAGCGTTTGGTGCCACAGCCCTTGCAGACCGAAGCTGAGGCTCTGCGCACCAGCGAGGACTGTCTCTATCTGAACATCTACGCCTTGAACGACACACAGGCCATGCGAAGGCCCGGAGGAGCCGGACTCGATGCCGCTGGTGGGGGGACAAGATGGGCCTCGGGGGGTCTAGACGGCAGCGCTGGCAGAAGCGATGGTCGGGCCGCCTCAAGGAGTCTGTCGCCTGTGGTGGTCTTCCTCAACGGCTATGACCACGTTTCGGGCACCGGTAATAGGTATCCAGGCCATGCACTCGCCCAGCTTGGTCTGGTCGTCGTCACCGTGAACTATAGGCTTGGCCCTTTCGGCTTCTTAGCAACCCGGGAGGATGTCTTTCCTGAGCCAAGATCAGGCTCCGGGCTGGACGATAATGAGCATGGCAAGGGGAGAAAAGAGAATTTGAGCCAAATGCAAGGCGATGAAGCAGAGGAGGTTTGGGAAGAAGAGGAGGCACTGGGCAACTATGGCCTCCTGGATCAAGTCATGGCGCTTGAATTCATCCAAGAGAATATTGATCGCTTCATGGGCGACCCGAACCAGGTGAAAGACCGTGTGCACTGGTCTACAGAATACATCTCTTAATTTAAATGCTCCCGCAGAGGCCATGCACCCTAGCGTTTGGCTTTGCCATTCATGAGGCTGTAGAGTTCTCTGATGGAATTCCATGGCCCGTGTACGATGTTATATTTTTTTACTTTTTTAGTCATACTGCTTAGCGCTTATAGAAACGGTTATATTATTTCACATCTATGAAGAAAATTTGGCTTTCGAAGATCCCCGTAATGAATAAGTTTGACTCGACTTTTAGTTACAAAGAGAAAGTTTGCTGGAGGGGATTCGTAATTTGGTCTCACAGGAAACCTAAGAAGGAGTGTCTTGGTGTAGAGATTGTGGGATTGTGCCAAGAAATCCTCGTGATTGTTGAGCTTACTTCCATTTCGAGTGGAAGTGTTGGGTGAAGAGATTCGAAGGTGGGTTCCACCAGAAG